ATCAATGAAACATCTGTTTTTACAAATTCGCAGTTCGTTATTTTGCATCTATGAAGTTATTTAATTTAATTGTGCTTATTCTTCTATCTTCTTTTTTAATGGAACTGTTCGTAGTTCATGATATATCTTACTTTCTCTAGTTGCAGGTCTAAACATTTTTTTTTCTTTTTTGAATAAGCTATCTAAATTATTTTTTTTTCTGTTTTAATAAATAAAATTTTTTGCAAACCATTATTAAAAATGTCTCACTTATATTATCTTTCGTAATTCCAGTAACAATTTAACTGTGTTACTAAATAGTATATGAGGATTCTTTTAAGTTATTGAGAGAAACATAAAAATTATTATTATCATATCTAGGCCATTAGTGTCATGAGAAATACTTGAAACGTTTTTGCAAGTTTACCATGTCCTCGGCTTGGAGGTGCTAGTTTAAATTTCTATTTTTGAAGCAAAATCTTTGCAAAAGTTATAGCGTCATTAAGGTTTTCAATGCAGGAATGTGCAAACCCTCGCCCGGGATTCGAACTCCGGACCTCCTGATTACGAGTCGGACGTGCTTTCAGTTAGACCACGAAGACATGAAAAGGAAGGAGAAAATACCTTATATAACCTACATTAAAGAGCGACTGGGGACGAGGGTACCCAATCGCCAAATGCTGCTGGTGACGAATTATGGTCTACCTAATTTTAGCTCGGGTGCCATTGTAGATCATTAGATTTTTAGATGCAGAAGACGTGAAAAGTGTGCAGTGCCCTCGCAGAGATTCGAATTCCGCAGCTTCCGATTATGTGTCGGGCGTGCTTCCAGATACACTATAAAGGCACGTCGTAAGGACGAATAAAATACCTTATACAGTTACAAAATTTAATTTAGCTAAATTAAGAAAAGAAATTTAGTGGAAGTTTCTATCTCTGTTATATTATATTGTTATTAAAAAAGGAAAATCTGTATAGGTGTTCAGACTATTATCTGAATTATGAATTATGAACCGCCCAGATGGTATAGTGGTTAGTGGAGCCTGACTGCGATACCGAAATGCCCGGGCTCGAATCTCAGGGAAGGAATGGACGTAAAATTGTCTGTCCCTTCATAGGAAGGCAAAGGTGACCGCCTATTTAGGTGCCTCCACAATAAAATGGTCACCACTTCTGGCCTTATTAGTGGTCAATGTCGTTATAGGCAAGTACCCGCCATTGGAAAAAATATGAATTATGGTATTATTGTGGGAAGATGGCGGCACCAAGAGCCATCAGCTTTTGAACACACATAATCTTGCATTCGAACATGTGCACATCAAACCCCAAATCAGAGTTTGAATTTTTTTAAATTTATTTATATTTGGTGCAAACGTAATAAATTTTTGTTTAGCAAACTCAGCGATTTAAAAGCAGTGCGTTCGTACTGGCTATAATATATTTTTCTCTTATGCGCGCCAGTATATTGCCATGTTTCGAAGTGTAAGATATTTATCTTTCAAATTCAATTAAAATCAGAGATATTTTTAAAACATATATTTCCACTGCTCAAGATAAAATGCACGAGTTGCCATTTGGTAAACCGCGCGTGGATTATGTGTGTTCAAAAGCCGCATGGGCTATTAGTTTGGAAATGGGATTTTGCATCGTCCACAATAAATGGCGAATGACATTTAAAATTATTGCCACAATACTGTCACCATATATTTTCGTTAAAGGAATTAAATAATGAAACATTAGCATGTAAGTATGTATGTTCCTCCATTTTGAAAAAATGACAGTATCTAGAGCCGTTAAATTTTTAATAACATTGTTCTCCACCCGAACCTGTGCATCTTGAAGCCCGAAAAAAAAATTAGTCTGAAAGCTTTCAGATTTTATATTACGCACAAAGGGCGTTTTCTAAATATTTTGTGTACTACCTTTATTTATTAAATATCATGTTTTTAGCACTTAAACCATAAAATTCTATTCAACAGCCATATTCCAGAAAAAAAGAGCATACCTTACGAATTTCCGATGCACAGTCTTGCGCGCTGGAGATAATTTTTTCCTCCGTACAGTGTTGCCATTCCTCACTTTGAAATCTTTGAATTTGTTAATAAAAAATTCGTTAAAGTTCTACAAAATCTGAAACAGAGAATAAGACAAATTCCAAATTTGGGCTTCCAGATGCCTATATTCGAATGGAGGAGTGGATTCAAAATTTAATGTCTCTCTATACCGTTAATTTTTCACATTGGTTGGAAACGTACGTACATTCATGTAGATTCTTCATTATTTAATTTCTTCAAACATACTGCAGGGCTGTAATATTTGGTTGCAGAAAGTTGGAAAAGTGAAACGTCGCTTATAGTGAACCAACGCAAAATGAAAAAACGAAGTTAATAGCCCTTGTGGGGAAATAGCCTCTTTCGGCTTTAAAAAAAAAAAAAAAAAAAAAAAAATCTGAAATGTTTCAGATTTTAAATTACGTCCAAAGGGGCGGTTTTTAACATTTTGTGTGTTACCTTTCTTTATTAAATATCATGTTTCTCGCGCTTAAACCATAAGATCCAGTGCAACAGCAATATCGCAAAATAGTTTTAAAACGAGCATATCTTTAGAATTTCCGATACAGAGACTCACGCGCTTTAGATAAAAATGTTTTTTCTGCACAACGTTGCCATTGCTCGCTTTGAAATCCTTGAGTTTGTTAATCAAAAATTCGTCAAAGTTTTAAAAAATAGGAAAGCGATCATAAAACAAATTTCAAATTTCAAATTTGGTCTTCCACATGCTCATATTCGTTGGAGGATTACGTTATTCAAAATTCGATGACTCTATGTACCGTTGTTTTATCACAATACGAGAAATATACAAACATTTATGCAGATTTTTCATTATTTAATTTCTTCAAATATAATGCAGGACTCTAACATTTTGTGGCAACAGTTTGAAAAGTGAACCGACATTTATGAGTCCGACGCAAAATGCCAAAACGAAACTAATAGTCCTTCGGGATTCAAATCCCTTTGGACTTAAAAAAAAAAAAAATTCCAGCGCGCGAGACTGTCTATCAGAAATTCTGAACATATACTATTTTTAAAGATTTTTAGCCCAAAGGGACATTAGCCCAAATGCTACTAAACATGTAGGTGTTTGTAAATGAGAAAATTGTCCCTTTGGGTATATCAGATATAAGATCTGAAAGATTGTAGTTTTTTTTAAGCCCAAAAAGTTGTTAGTCCCGAATGGGATATTATTGGGAAACGGAATTTCGCATACTTATATGCGTTGCATAACTTTCAAATTGTTGCCATCAAATATTATCGCCATGTATTACTTTTAAAGAAATTAAATGAGGAATCTGCACGTACGTGTGAATGTATGTTCCTCGCATTGTGAAAAAACGACGATACGTAGAACCAACCGAACATGTGTATCTAGAAGCTCGAATTTTGAATTTGTTTTACTATATATTTCAAATTTTGTGAACCTTTAACGAATTTTTGATTAACAAGCTCAACGATTTCAAAGAAAACAATGGCAACACTGTACGGAAAAAAACAATTTATCTCCAGCCCGCAAGACTGCCTGTCAGAATTTTTAAAGGTATGCTATTTTAAAATATTTTGTGATATTGCTGTTGAATTTAATTTTATGTGGTTTATGTGCGAAGAACATGATATTTAATAAAAAAAAGGTAACACACAAAACGTTAAAAATATCTCTTTGGGCATAATATGAAATCTGAAAGTTTTCTGATTTTTTTATTATAATTATTTATTTATTTCACATTTTGTTAAACTTTAACGAATTTTTGATTAACAAACTCAAAGATTTGAAAGCGAGCAGTGGCCGCATGTAAGGAGGAAAATATTTTTATCTCCAGCAAGCCAGATTTTCTATCGGGAATTTTAAAGGTACGTTGTTTTAAAATATTTTGCGATTTTGCTGTTGAATGGAATTTTATGTCACGTAAGCGCCAAGAACATAATATTTAACAAATACAGTGAATAACAGAGAACGCTAATAATGGAAAAGATAAAAAAAAATTTTAAAGTTATCTTAGTCATAAAACTAAACGTTGATAGGACGAAGTGAGGAGTGATTGAAAAAAAAAATAACATTGAAAATGAAAAATATAAAAATCTGAAAGATTTCAGATTTTACACTACACCCAAAGGGACGTTTTATTTAACCTTTTGTATGTTACCTTTGTTTATTAAATGTTCTTTGCACTTAAAAGGCCCACCAGCGGCCGAGCGGTAAAGTCGCTGAACACTGGTAGTTCGGTCCGAGGTTCGAATCCCGCGAACGGGCTGGCTGCATGGGCGTTTTCGTGGTTTTCCCCATGTGTAACGTGTATACGAGCCAGTTTCCCTTAGAAAGTCCTCCACGAAGGCATCCCTCCTCTTAGGCAGATAGCAATCGAGGCTTTGCCATAATCACACACTCACAACACACACACTTTGCACTTAAACCATAAAGTTCAATTCAACAACAATATCGCAAAATAATTTTAAAAATGAATATATCTTTAGAATTTCCGATACACAGTCTCGCGCGCTGGAGATAATTTTTATTTCCGCACAGTGAAAAAGTGCACAGTGCACAGCCGGCACTAAGCAATAGATATAATTCTTAATATTATTTTTTTTTCTTTTTAATCTGATTGATCAAAATAAAATGCATTTAGTTCATAATATGTCTCATTAAAAACATGAAATACTTTTATAGCCCTACGTTATGCATTTTTTCACTTTTCAAATATGCAGATGATAAATAACATTCCCATATTAGTCTTATTGTATATTCATCTAATCTGGGCCATCTGTTTAATAATCCACCTGGCCACCATCTCTGTTGAAAAACCATATTAAACTTCAAAACGGCATTTTGGGGCGACTGTCTGAACGCTTTTAGATTTTTTTAATATTAAAATTTATCAGAGCTTGGTAAATAAACATTTATTTCTTTGTATATACTACGATTGCTTAGCAGTCATCCTCATGCTTTCCCTCTTTTTATTTATCTAGGAAAAGCGAGGAAGAGGTAAAACTGCTAGAAGCTGCCATCCGTCTTCGCAGCCGGGAGAAGCGTGATGAACTGGAGTCCACTTGCCATATTTGTGCCAAGACCAAGTTTGCAGACGGCGTTGGACATATATGCTCAACATGCGGGATCCGCTGCTGCGCCAGATGTGGAGTGAAAGTTGTTCAACGTTCCAACAAGGTATTTCAGTTTCATGGTTTTAATGCTCACATTCCCAAACAAATTAAGAATGAAAAAAGAAGAAAATAAATCATGTTTATTGGTCAGATGAGAGCAAAATGGCACAAAAAGCTATTTTAAAATATGCGTTTCAGTGATGACAATCTATTACTTAAAATTTTAGTTAAAGTATATTTCAACACAAATTTTACAATTTGAAAAATTTAGGTGTATAATTTAAAAATCTAATTAAGATTAAAGCAAAATGTTAAAGGAATGAAGAATTATGTTTGTTAAATTTTAAGTGTGTTGACCTCTCATTTTTGGGCAAGCATCTTGTTTTACAAACTGCTGATGTGGTAAATATTATATCCTCAAGACATATTGTTTTTAATGTACACTGCGAAAAAAAAAAAAAAAAAAAGGTTCAGTTCTATATCTTCCGTTCTACTGGGACAATTGACGAAATTCAACTTACGTTTTTCATATCTCGAAAGCGCGACTTGGGATATGTATTAGATTTATATATATCATTCTTCTAACATAAGTATTCTGACACAAAATCGAACTTTTTCCAAAATGAAATGCCAATTTTTTCCATATTTCTATTCTACGACTCAAATTATGCCAAAATACGACGTTTTTTAAAAATCGCACGAGTATTTTTTAAAAAATTAGCTCTCAAAATTTTAGCTATATTTATTTGATATATATTTATTTATATTCTTTTTTCATTAAACTTACTTGATTCCTTCTTCCAGAATTCAAAATTTAGGCTTAATCAAATATAAATCGCACATTTTTTATGATTTATGTTTTAAATTTGTATTTTTAAATATTTTTTGTAAATTTTTCGGAGAAAGTTTTGTATTATAACCTATAAAATTTTTAAAATCCTCTTTTTCAGGCGGATGTATTTCTAGGCATACCTGAAAAAAATTATTTTTTATTCAAAATTTTCTAAGATATACCTAAAATTACATATTGGCACGTTTTGAGATTTGGCATTTTTTTTTTTTTTTTTTTTTTTTTGAGCGATAATAACGCCAAATGTTGTTTACACACTTTGTTAAAATTATTTGAAAGTATGAAATATGACTTTTTTTTTGTTCGTCTGCAATGCAAAAGAGGAAAGGAAAATTAGGTTGCTATAAGTTCGCCAAGTCAATTATTCTTGGCGCAAACTGAAAACAATACGGCAAGATAAATATTTGAATTTCTCCGTAAATTTCGCGCCAAATTTTATAAAATTTATTATTTAGGCATAATTTGAGTCGTAGAATCGAAATATGGAAAAACATTTGAATGTTATTTCAGAAAAAGTCCGATTTTGTGTCAAATACCTATGTTAGAATGATGCCATATATAAATCTAATATATATCCTAAGTCGTGCTTTCGAGACATTAAAAAGGCAATTTGAATTTCGTCAATCGGCCTAGTAGAACGGGAGATATAAAACTGTCCTCGCCTTTTTGCGCAATGTACCTAGTACTCTAATGGATTAATTAGATTACTTTATTTAAATATCATTCTATAAAAATAAGCAACAGCCATATGATTTCCAATAACAAATAATTTCCGAACTACAAGCAATTAAGGTACTATTCCGTTTTGAGGAGCGTAAAAAATATCAGCAAAAATGGATGCGCAAAAGCGCCAAATTTAGCAAACGCCCCATTTAACAGCGCGCCAAATCTAGCGTACGCCTTGATTTCAAACTGCATATGTTTAGATAGTTCTATATTTCTTAAGACACCATTGATATACTAATTTAATTTTTAAATCGTTTTTTGATTTTAAATCCTTTTTTGATATCCTATGGATTTAACAATTTGGGAATTGCCCATGACGAAAAGTCTGCAATAGAATTTTTTTCAAAAAAAAAAAAAAAAAGGCGTCATTTATTATAGAAAATTATGTTTAAACAACCAACGAGATGAAATTATGCTTTAGCGATAACTCGGTAACGAAATAGCGATGCAGGAATCCATTCAGTTGTTAGCCTTTTTTATAAATATAATAATGATCTAAATAGTTATTTTTTCTTATGCTTCCATTCAGTTATGTTTACCATTTTTATAAATTATAATAATAAAAAGTATTATATGAAATTAACCTTCATATAAATAAAACAATAATCTTTAGATAATTATTTACTATTATACTTCCTTTCTTATGTTAAGGCTGCCGCAATGTTTGGCAGCATTGGCATCAACAATAGTTTGGCGATTTTTTATTGTCCTCAAAACGGAATAGTACCGCAATTAAAATTGCACCTAAGTTTGCTAAGAATGCACTCAGTTCACTCAGGATTAATAACTGCCAAAGGATAAATTGTCTGACTTAAATTTAAACTAAAAAATATATAATATGATTAGCTAGATGTGACTCAATTATACAGCTCACTGTGTAGCAGCATTGCCCGAAAGCCAATATATCCTTGGTTAGTACAGTGATAGCCGGTTGACAAATTTGCTTGAATGTGTAAATATGTAAAACCTTTACATTTATAATTATAGTTGTCTTATTGATTTACTGGTCTAAGTTCACAAAAATTAACTTTCGACCTAGATGAATACTATAATAACAACTAAAGGAGATTAATGTATTTAGTGTGCTACAGTTCTCAAGTAGAAATAAAACCGAATTACACTTGGATTTCCTTCGCAATATCTCAGGGCTAGATAATAATTACTTAACGGATTAACTGAATCTCAGTATATAATCCTAAAATTCTCCAATATCAAAGAGCAGGCCGACTGAAGTGAAAGTCTCAGCGGAATTCGGCACTATTACATAGTAAATTGAAGAAAACGTTTTAGTTCAGGCATAATGCCTAGTCTTATTTCGGAAAAATCACACAAGCGCAGATAATGTTGGTCTCAGGAATTCCAGAGTTGATATGAAACTATTGGTACTAAAATCTTTATCTTGATGGTCGCTGCGTCTTCTTTCATGCTAACAAAATATACTTCTTATTGAGGTTTCAGATTAGAAGAATAAATAATGGATTACAGAGGGATTCATTCAATGTTATATTACTTCTCTGAGAGACGTCCTACTCAAATGAGAGAAAATTTCATTCACAGTCAGTCATTCCAGCCGGTGTTTTTATCAGTAAATCTTATTTGAAATTCTTGAGTGGGTAAGGACACTTAGCTGCTGAAGAGACGATTCTGGATTCAAATCCGAATTGCAGCCCTTTGCAGACTGATTTAAGATTCGTATTTATTTTCCCAAAAATATGCAATGTATTTAAGAATTTTTTATTTCACAAAACGGAGTTTAACATTTTGACTTTTAACTAATTTTACTTTACTAAGATTTCATTTACCATTTCTCAGAAGAAAAAACTAACAATCTTTTCTACAAATTTGAAAAAAAAAAAAAAAAAAAAAATACATAAAGCAATTTGCGTATAAAATCATGTCATTTTAAAAAAAAAATGAGTACCGAATAAAATGGTTATGCCACGTTTTCGTGATTTCTTTTACGTGTCGAGAAAATACCATTTCGCCCGAAGGCTGTTTACCTCAGTCATATTTTGCTCGATAGATAGCTTTCATCTAACCCAGTCCTTAATCTAAGTGCTGAGTAAGCACAAACTGCTTGATGCTACAGCCATTTATTTCTTGGTTCACCGTCAGATGGCGTTCAGCTTTTTAACTTGAACTCCACAGGGAGAGATAAGTATGCATGCGGATTTCGATCTGCGAGTGTTCAGGATTTCTCTCGGAGGTGGTAGTGCATCTTCAGAGCGTCTTATTTCGGTAGTGATATCGACTATGATTTATAAATAAAATAATATCCAGCGTTGATATGAAATGCTTAGTTTTGCATTCAGAGAACAAAGAATATGTAGATAATACTTACAATAAGCTGAAGGTTTATTGAATACTTCAAATTCTAAGCACAAAATAAAAGAAAACAGGTTCTCTGAAGTATTTATGCGAAATTGATTTATCATTTGATGAAGATCTTCAGTTGCTACGTGCCCTGTGCAACTATAATCATAAATGAGTCCGAATGTTTTGCTTAAAAGTCATGCATAAGAGTTTTTATGACTTAATGATAAAAAAGTTCTGGGCTTCACGTTTTCGCAAACAGAAGCAATAATTCTGACACTTTTTAAAATTATTGTCAATAAAAAGGACGCAAAAGTAGATGTGGTAAACAACTACTTAGAAAGATAATGAATAAGAACCTATTAAAGAGTTTTTTTAACCATAGGTTAAAGAAATTACTCCAAAGAAACTTAAAAGAGCTATGATCAGAGATTTAATTTGCTTTTCTTGGATTAAATCCTTTAAATTTAGCCCTTTCTAAATCTTCAATAAATCATAAGTTCAGAAATGACAAGTATGTAAGATTAAGTAGAGCTTGTAAACGCCTGCCATACTTTAAAATGCTAAGCATTTTTGTAGCTTAGCCCAGATATCACAAAAATAAAATAAAAAAGCTGAATTGATGCTGGAATTTTTAAAATTTTTGCTATTTAAAAGTGAGTGAAAATATAGAAGAAATTATATTAATTTTATTATTTGCAAAAGCAGCTGACTCATTTCATATAAATTTTGATGACATGATCCTAGAAATTATGAGCACAAACGTGTTCTTGATAAATTATGAAACTAGTCCATGTCATTTGGAACGTATTTCATTGCATAATTTAATGATCCTTGCATAATCCCAAATAATTTCAGTACTTACGTAGCCCATATTTAAAGCGATCGCTCACAGAATGCATGCATACATACAATCTAAAACATACATACATACACACGCACACACACGTACATACACACGCATACATACAGACCCTACATTACTTAATAACAGAGGTGAAGTGTATTTATTTGTTGCTCGTATTACAGGAAAACGGCAGCACTTACAGCCACCAACACCGGCATCAGTTTCGGAATTGGTGTTGATTCAGAGCTGAATTCGGAGTATTGAGATATTCGTGTTAGCTTCCCTCTTTAGATGCTTTGCATTGCGTTGTGTTTAACACTCTTAGTAG